TGGTATAAGACTATAGGCATTCACACAGAGTGAGACCAAAGGAGGATATTTTTAGGAGATGAACGCAAAGGTGCAATGCCTACGTAGTCTGATCATACAAAATAATTATTTATTAACATGAACTCCAGGTAATAGCAACAAGAAAAAAAACAGATGCATTAAACGTTTTGAGAAAACCTGAGAGTGGTTTTGGCCCCTAATGATCAGCAGAGGATATCATCTGGATTCTTCTTAGATATTCATAACAGAGGCCAGGAAAAACTTGGGAGCATATTTCATTTGCTACCATGTCCTAGTATTAAATGAGCAGACAGAAGCTTGTCTAATTTTCAGAAATGTCCTATGTATGTGTGTATTTACATATATACATTTGTAGGTATTTGTGTCTTTCTATAATGTGTATATATACATATGTAAGTATTTTTAGGTCTAGATTCTGCAAATTGGAAAGCATGCAATATATCTCAACTGAATACAATGAATTTAAAAGCCAGTATAAATGGCAAAACAAATTTGAGGCTCATACATTCTCGACCCATGACTCAGGTTCAAAGTGAGTAGTTTTTATGTAATGATGCAGCCTATGGAACACTGTGTTCACCTTGGTCAGCTAAGCACACAGCAGATGTCTTGGAGGCAGCAATTCTGCAACAATGACCATACCTGCAGCTGCTTAACTGACTTGACTGTCAAGGGACACTTGAATGCTACCAGAGGAACTTATACAGTGAGTCAGTCTTAGCTTGTCTTGCTCATGGTCATCGGAGTGTTTTTAGTAGTCTTTAGTAAGAGTGGTTGCAACTCTGAGGCCTGTTCACAAAGAATGATGTCAGACATTAAATTAAAAAAAGTAAAACCATAGCTACTGCAATGCCAGTAAGATGACAATCGTAGGGGAAGAGATGTACATAAATGGTTCTTTGGAGCCCCAGGAAGATGCTGGTCCTGGACCCTCAAGTATTCTCACTTTGGTCACAAGCTAGACTGAATTCTAGCTCTTCTCCCATGGTGATATGCCACATGCTAAGCAGTAGACCAGGACATGAAGTGCGTACATGTCATCTTTTGCATTTACAATAAAACTGGAAGTGTTGATGACAATAGATTAGCAAGAATAATGCCAAACACACACACAATGCTTACTCTCCTTGGAGTTTGTCTTCTACTCACATCTTAAATGTTTTGCCAGTATCTTAACTAGTTTGCCAACTATTCCAGTCTTAAATATTATCAGACATCAATGAGCCATCTTGAAACTTCCAGCTAGTTGATTTGACTTTGAAGTCGAGTTGTAAAGCACATTAGTAGGATAGGCACCCCCTGGGAGATGCTCCTCTGTCTGTAGTGGAGCTAGCTATGTGACTATGTTAAAACTGGTTAGAGTAACAAGGACTGATTTATGAAAACATGCTTGCCCTATCTCTAATCTTAAGTGAGAGACTGTTCCTGAGCTGTTCCTAGAAGGGAATTTTTCAAGGATGGAAATGAAAAGGAAGCTTCTAGTAGTAAATCATGGATGATGACTAGCTATAGGTCCCCTCTTGAACCTGGTCTTGGTTCACCTTTCAGAGGAGCTGTTAAGAGTAGTTATGATAACTAGTCCATGGGACTGAATAAGTGCAGTTAGAGTTGTCTATTTTAACCCCTCCTATATTCCAGCTCACAAAGCAGTGCTCCCTATTGAGGCCCTGAAAGTCTTGAGCCCAGACCTCATGCATCGGCTGCCCACCAGTGTGCCCATGTCAGCAGGGAAACAAAGAACTACTGGGAGGTTTATTGAGGGTTGGTTCTTCAGTTTTGGACAACTTGTCTTTTTTTCATGGTGCCTTGTGTCTTAAACTTTCAGGTCTTGTAACCTGAAGGTATTAAGGGAACATTTTGTCCCCCAAGGAAGGGATTGGAACTAAGCACATGTTCCCTTTCTGGGGACTCCCTGGGACTGTCCAGGCAGTCAAAGTGTGCATTAACATTGCTATTGCCAGTGTGGACAGCACCCACACTTAAATGGACAAGCCAGTGTCTAAGAACTGCTTGTTTCAGATCATTAACTGAAGATGGTAGCCATATTTCTTTATTTCCCCTTCAAGGCTAGCACCACAGCCTATGATACTTAAGAGGCAGAGCAGACAAGGCTGCCCTTGCTTTGTAAGTCTCCTATTCCTGCTTCTGAGGTTAAGCCATTGGGGGTGAAGCAGATATCAAAGCTGCATTAGCTTCTTTGTGAGCCTTGCTGTCTCAGATGCTGCTGTATTTTGCTGTCCTTTTGGAAGAGTGCAATGGCACGAAATCTGCAGAATCATGTTAGATATGTTTAAATATTTGCAAGATATAAAAGAAAATTCCTGTTTTTCTTATGCTAGATATAATGGAGTTCTTCCCATCCAAATACCCTTGAGGCTATTATCTGTTGAATAGTTGTGGGGATGATGTTTTCTTATAGAATAATTGTAGAATCTGGCACTAGATAGCTGGTGTGAAAGAAATTGTGGCAGTGTTTGCCTGTTTGTTCTAGCAACTAGAGCATAGCAGAACTGTCTGCCTGTTCTCTGAGGAACAAACTATATGGAGAGACTGACAAATAAGATCAGAAGCTAGCCTGAAGTGTATTCTTCAGGTATTTGCATTCCAAGAATCCTTTTTCCTATTTCGGCTTTATGCCTAGATTATTTTGTATTTTTCTTCAGCCCTACCATCCCGTTAGGAGTTGAGAGTTCTGTGGGGAAATACATAGTCATTACAATGAGTGGAATATTATGCTTCTGGAAGGTTACTGGAGAAGAATAGATGAAGGTGTGTGTGGGTTGAGTAGGGCTAAGTATATGTTCAGAAGCCTTTTGGTGTAGGTGACTAGAAATGGAGCCTGGGGAAATAAATAGGTTTAAGGCTTGGTACAGCAATGACAGTAATAAGAAAGTAAAGAAGGCAACAATCCTCAGTGTGATGTCTGTGGTCAGCTACTTGAGGAAGGAAAAGCTACGGGAATTCCAATCAGAGATCCATGCGAAAGGCACCAATTTGGTCCTGAGAACTTGGTCTGTCACCTCTGGGACACTGAGTATGAATACCTGCAGGTGACAGGACAGTTGAACCTAGAGTTAGGACTAAAATCAGGAAGCTTAAGATGGAAATCCAGGCCTGGGAATGTGGCTCAGTAGTAGAGTGCTTTCCTTGCATGCATGAAGCCCTGGGTTTGATTCCTCATCACCACATAAGCAGAAAAACCCGAAGTGGTGCTGTGGCTCAACTGGTACACTGTTAGCTTTAAGCTGCAGAGCAGAGGAAGAGCAGAGGGAAAGCATTGAGGCCCTAAGTTCAGGGCCAACATCCCTCCCAACCCCCCCAAAAAAGATGGAAATCCAACAGGGCGGATGGTTAGCTAAGCAACCTGAGACAATGCCAATGTGCCCTCTGGGAGTGTGCTGAGGACACCCAAATGTTTGGTGGAAGCAAAGGGCCCTTGAGAGTCTGGGGATTGGTGGTAACAGTCAAGGGAGAGTTCACGCTCTGCCTCTGTTGAAAGTTTAGTATAAAATGAGCACTTCACTTCCACTTTAAAATGGGAAACTTGGTGACTTCATTGGTTCCAATGGTGGTAAAAGGAGCTTGATTAAAGGAATGGGCTGGGGAAGGGGTGGAAGGGATTAAATCTGACAATGTAATGCTGCTTTTATGTGGGAAGGTGGATACTTGCTAGTCTCCCAACCTTCTCCTAAGTTTCCTCACTATATAGAGAGAAACCTAAACCTCTGGGCCCGATGAAATATCCCAGCTTCCTGGGACCAGTGGGACTCAAACCCCCAATCTGCAAAGAGTCACCAGCACTCACCAGCCACATGGCAACGGTCTCCAGCTCTGAGATTCAGAGAAGAGCCCCATTTGCTTTTCATGGGAGAATTTCATAGGAAGGGGTTTCACCTAGGTGATGTTTGCTAAAGCATCAAGCAAGCAAGGTTACAGAGCAAAACATAGCCTTTGAGTCACAAGAACATAGGCAACACATAATCTTCACTTGGTCAGCATGATCAATGCTATCAATTTATTGACACTTGATTACAAAAAACAAACAATATCCATGGATTACAGAAATCAAAATACAATCTCGGGTGGCGATAGTCTATTGAACAGAAATTATTGTTATTATAAGGTCCGGACTAATACAGTAAGTCAGTACAGCCGATGACAAGCCTCAAGGTTGTCAGTGGCCATCAGCAGAGTTTGTAGTCAACTGCAAAGCTGCCTGGCTTGGAAGCTTGAGAGACGGAGAGATGTTCTTTGACTTTGTAGCAAGGATGTTAAGGGGCTATGGCTGACAGCTGGCTATCGCCTTAGCCTGGGGGTTTCTTTACCAAGAGGTTTTTCCCCTTGATCAATAATTTTGTTCTGTTTTGATCTCACATGTTTGTTTTCATGGATATCCTTTCTTTACTGTCTCAGGGGAGACAGTAAATTTCCTGCAGCAGGAGGGACTGAGGCCAGACAATAGAAGGAAATTTCTGCCAGTGATTAGTAACTCATATGCCTTGAATTTTTAGTGGGGATTGTCACACCAGGTAGTTGGGTTCCCTTGTGTGAGATTCTCAAACAAGAGACCACTACTTGTTTCAGGCAGGAAAGAGTTAATTTTTTTTTCTTCCAAAAGGAAATAGTCATTAAATTATACAAATTTACAAATCAGGGCTGGGAAATTTGCTCCTTGGTAGAGCGCTTGCCTTGCAAGTATAAGGCCCTGGGATCAATTCCCAGCACCACATATTCAAAAAGAAAAAAGCCAGAAGTAGCGCTGTGGCTCAAGTGGAAGAGCGTTAGCTTGAGCTGAAGAGTTGAGGGACAGTGCCCAGGCCCAGAGTTCAGGCCCCACGAACTGACCATAAAAAAAAATGTACAAGTCAAAATACAAAACAAGTGGAGAGGTTTAGGAGCAGTGTTTACAGGCAGGTGTCCTGGCTAAGGGAGGCTCTGGATGGAAGAGCAGCACTGGGTGAGGCAGGGTGGCTCCAACTTCAGAACTTGAGGCTGAAGCCTGGACCTACGGCTGAGGCCCCCTGGTTGGTGGTGGTGAGGTAGAAGCCTGTCTCCATCACCTCCTCCTTCTCACCCAGCTGGTTGAAGCCTAGACCACCCCTGGGGGGTTGGTGGCTGGTGCCACACTTCACCCTCTGCTGCTGCTGCTCACTCTTGGCAGGCCAGGTGGGGAACATGGAAGGGTATATAGGGAGGGGGTTCTCATGGAAATACTCATGCTTGAGGCCATCTTCTGCTGTCATCCGTCTCCCAGGGAAATAGGTCAGGAACTTGTTCATGAGATCAAAGCCTTGGTCTGAGAGCAGAATCCCGAAGCGCTTCCGGAGGTGGTTGTAGGGTTGTTGGCTGAAGGTCATCTTCTTGACCACCGGGAGCTCATTGTAGCCAGGCCAGATTTTCTCACTTGGAGTCCCCAGATCCTTGAATATCTTGTGGATCTGATCCATCTCTGACTTCCCAGGGAACAGGGGCTTATGTGTCAGCAGCTCTGCGAAGATGCAGCCCACCAACCACATGTCCACGGGTGTGGAGTACTCCTTGGCGCCCAGCAGCAACTCGGGGCTCGGTACCAGAGGGTCACCACGACGGGGGGTGTAGGCCTTCAGGGGCATCCCGTACTCTCGAGCCAGCCCAAAGTCAGCGATCTTGAGGATGCCTCCGTGGCTCAGCAGCAGGTTGGAGGTCTTGAGGTCCCGGTGCAGAATCCAGTTGTCATGCAGGTGATTCACCCCCTGCAGCAGCTGAAGCATCAGCGTCTTCACTTCCCCTGGCAGAAAGGGCTGCTGCATGGTCTGCATGAGGCTCTTGAGGTCATGCTCCACGTAGTTCATCACTATGTAGATCTGGTCCATGTGGCTGCCCACCACCACCTCCCGGATGGTGACAATGTTGGGGTGCTGGGCCTTGAGGAGGGTGTTGATTTCTCTCAGGGATGTGATTGGGAACCCTTCTCTCCCCTCCACTTTCCACCATTTCAGAGCCACAATGGCGTCTGTCTTCTTTTCCCTGGCTCTATACACGACCCCGTAGGTGCCTTCCTCAATCCTGTTCAGGCACTGGAACTCCTCCACGCTGCGGCAGCCCTGCAGTGCCGGCAGGTATTTGGGCAGTTCCTGCTTGGGCTCAGTGGGCCACAGGGCTGGGGAGTCAGGAGAGTGGTCCCCTGTGGTGGACATGCTGCTCTGCGGGGTCCCCTCGCCCACTTCCTCCTCCTCTTCTTCACTATCCCCGGAATCTCTGTCAGATCGCGACTCTGGAACAGCCAAGATGAGGTCTTCGTGGCCGGGCTCTTCACCCTCACTCATTTCTTCCTCGTTTCCTAAGTCTGCAGACTGCTCTGAGGCCTCCTCCCAGTGGCTCCGTGGATCTTCCGAGCCCGAGCCTGATTCCACTGAGGACCTGGCAGAGCTGTTTTTCCTCTCCCTGTCACTGACACTGTCCTGTAGGTTAGACAGCAGATCTCTTGCCTCCGTTTTCTCTCCTTTGACTGGCTTCGGTCTGGCTCCCAGTGCAAAGCTCTCCCTGGGCGGCCACACCGGGCTGCGACTGCAGGGAGTGGCCCTGCCCTTGTCGCTGTAGGCCTCCCTGGTCCTCCAGTGGTGTGCCAAGCCCTCCCTGCGGGCCTCAGGCTCCTGGCGCCATCCCTGTCCCTTCTGGTCCCGCGTCTCCTTCTGGTGCTTGCTCCTCCTGCGCTCCCATCCTCGCTTCCCTTTGACCTGCTCCAGGCGGTCCCCCTCTCTCCAGGGACATTCTCTTGCCAGTTTCCTCCTTTTCTGTCTTAGCCATTCGAGGTGGTCTTGGCCCTGCTCTTCTCGGTGTCGCTTCCGAGGTCCGTGCTTGCTTTCTCCTTTCACTCGAGCATGCTGCCCCCCTCCGCTGAGTGGCTGCCATGTCTGTGCTTCTCTTCTCTTGTGTCTTCGCTGCGATGGGCCTTTGCTGGCCGAGACATCTGCTGTGAGGGATGGATGGCCAGAGGCTCCGCTTCCTCTCCCCTGTCTTCCATTGAGTCCTCTCTTCTGTAGGGTGAGTTCCTGGTTGTGATCTCCCTTCGGGGATATCTCTGCTCCCCTTGTTCAGCAGAGTCCTGCTTGGAATCCCTGTCATCAGAACATTTTAAGCATTCCATCTCTGCTTTCTCCTCTTGTTTTCTCGTTCTCTTCTTTTCTTGGAGAATTTCTTCTAAAGTTTTCACTCTCCACGAGTCCTGTCCACCACTCATTTGAATTAAAACCGCCGTGGTGTACTTCTTCTGAAAGAGATTATTCAGGAGAAAGACCAGTTTACTGGCCTGCCAGAGATGGAGATGGGCAGAGAATGAAGGTTTAGGACTGGGGAGAGGGATTATATAGGGAAGGGCAAGGAGGAGGTGTGGCCACAGCAATGCAGAAATGACCACAGAACCTAGGGAGCCTCTCAGTGTTGGAAGGAGGGGAGACTGAGCACATGAGGGTGTGGCTGGGCAGCTGAAGACAAGACAAGGAGGGTTGAGGGCGTGGTTGGGCAAATGAGGGTGTGGCTGGGAGGATCAGGGCCAGGTTGGGAGGCTTGTGGGGGCCATCAGATGAGGGCATGGCTGGACCACTGAGGAGATTTTGGGTCAGGCTGTGGTGGGGTCTTTTTGAGGAAGAGAAGCTAAGGGCAGGGTAGGGACTGTTTTCCTGGGCAGATCTATCATTCCTGCCTTGTTACAGTTCTGAAGGGCACCCATGCTGCCTAATTGTGCTGATTTCTCAAGGCGGAGACCAGTAGTAATAGTTCCTTGGTTGTGACTAGGCTTATGCATCTAAGGAAAGTGGTCTTGGGAGGCAGGGGCTGAACATTAAGAACAAAGCCATTAAAGAAGTTATTAGAGGCCACACAAAGGTCACACAGAAGGGCAACTATCCATTCCCACTAGAAATGAATAAAATGACTTGGAGATGACAAAAGAAATGGAAAGGATTACAGAAGCGGGCAGTCAGCTCGGTGTTAATCTCATCTTCAGGGATGGAAGTCAGCTTTACCTTAGTAGGCCTGAGAGGAGCAGGTGTACCTTGTAGTCAGTGTCAGTCTAGGAGGAACCGGAGCATAAAACTTTTTCACACTTGACAGATGAAACCACTGTGGCTGTCCACTGAGCTACACTGGGGTGGGAGTGGTCAGCAGGACCTGGTGAGACCCTGTCCAGCTAGCATGTAAATCAGATGTATTAAGGGTTTTGAGAAAGACTTGCTCCCCAGAAAAAACTGTGGGAGAAGGGAAAAGGCCTTGATGAGACTGGGGGAGGCATTTGTCAGCTTGTTGGCATAGCATATGTCTAAGAAGAATTAGGACAGGAAGATAATCCATTTTGAGAAAAAAAATGTTTGAGTTATCTATGACCAGGAGAGCTGATCCTTCCCTCTGGTCTCTATGTCAGGCTTCTCTGATTCCCAACCTTGTGTAGCTAGTGGGAATCATCAGGAAACTGTATACCTGAGATCTCCATACCTTCAGAAGCTCTTCTCAATTGAAGCCAATCAAGAATGCTCTACTTTTCATGTACTCTTGAGTATTTTTAGAAACGAAAATAGAAATTTATGTATGAAGTATGAAGATACTGTGATGTGAAGAAGACATGGGAATAGAGAACAGATGGCTTGTTAACACTGTGAGGAGAATGGAAGGATGTGTTTTGTCCAGGCAGGAGCACTTGAACTGACAGGACACAGGTGATAGATGAGCCAGCACAGCTATCATAAAGGTAGGATATGATCTTCCTTTAAGATCTCCCCCCCCCTTGGAATTGGGGCTGGAAAATGCCAGTTGAACTACATTCCTGGCCATGTTTTGAACTTGTGACCCTTCTTTCTCAGCCTCATGAGTTCCTGATATTGAAGGAATGCACCACCTTTTAGTAAAAGATCCATGACAAGTGGATAATTGGCTTTTCTGTTTCCTCAACATTGTTTTGTGTATAGGTGTAGTGATGGCAGTTCTACAGCGGCCTTAGAAAAACTGGGGATCTCTGAAAAAAAAACATATGCAGACATGAGAAGTTCTCGCCTGCTTGCCTTCCCCTGCTGTCTGTTGGCTATAAATACCAAATGGGTGCTAAGGATGGGAGAAAATTAAGATGGACCCAATTCTAATGCTGCTGGATCCATGAAGCCCTGTGATCCATCTTCTTGAAGCTGTGAACCCATGTGTTGACTTGCTATTCCTGAGCATTTCCTGTTTCTGAACAGTTATTATTTGGTTACCAGAGAGAAAACCCTGGATCTTATTATTGGAGGTAGACTTGACAGTTAGAATTCTCCCTTGAGCTAATCCTGATTTAAGCCCAACTAGTATTGGCTTGACCTTGACCTGAGGGTTGTCTTGGCCTTCAGTTGATCAGGGGAGGATAGGATCTTCTGGATTCTTCTTTGACCTTTCATAAGGGACCTCAGAAAAAGATATGAGAGGAGGTCTCAGTGGTATTGAGAGGATGTTTCAGTGGCTATCATGTTCTAGTGTTCAATGAGAGAGAATTAGTTCTAATTTTTAGAAATATTTCATGCATAAGTATCTGGCTTTATGGGTAATGTGTGTATACATGTATATATATGTATATGTATTTTAAAGACTACATTCTACAAATTGAAAATCATGCAATATATCTCACTTAATGTATTTATAAGCCATGATAACTGGCAAAAATATTTAGGCTTATAGTTTTGCCACACACGGTATAGTTTCAGTGACTAGGTTTTACATAATGATACAGCCTATGAAACACTGTATTTACCTTGGTCACCTATGCATACAGCAGATGTCTTGGAGACAGCAATTCTGTAACAATGATCATTCCTGTGAATGCTTTTGTGACTTCAAAGGATACTTGAGTGCTAATACAAGAACCTGCAGAGTGAGTTAGTCTTACCTTGTCTGGGTCATCTGGGAGTGTCATTAGGAGCCATTAATAAGAGTACTTGCAACACTGAAACCACTTCAGACATTTTAAAAAGTCAAAAATATAACTTCTGCAATGCCAGTAAGATGATGATCCTAAGGAAAGGGATGCAGCGAAGTGGTTCTTCTCATCCTCAGGAAGATGCTGGTCCTCCCAAGACTGCAAGTCTTCTCACTTTGGTCACAGGCTAGACTGTTGTGGTATACCGTGTTCTAAGCAGTAGACCAGGACATGAAATGCTTACCTGTCTCCCTTTGGATCTATAACAAAACTGGAGGACCAAGAAATCAAAGCCCCAATGTGGAAGGAAGGTGGCTGATCTCTGAACCATAGAAGGGAATGATTGTATTCTGTGAGGTGAGAGTAACCTCTCAGCCACTGAGGTTGGTCTTTCAAATTGCTAGTGTTGATAACAATAGGTTATATTAGCAAGAATGATGTCAAACACACAATGCTTATCCTCCTTGGAGTTTGTCTTCTAAGCCAATTACTCAAATCTTAAATATTATCAACTGTAAATGTGTAATTTTGAAAACTCCAGAGACTTGATTTGACTTTAAAGTTGAATTGCAAATCACATTAATAGGGTATGCATGACCTGGGAGACAATCCCCTGTCTCAATCCTAAATCTAGCCAGTATGTGACTGTTAATACTCAGTAGCAAGCACTGAGAGATGAATACATATACTTGCCCTATTTCTCATTTTAAACTGGAATCCATCCCCTGAACAGCCCCTGGAAGGGAATTTTCCAAGGATGGAAATGAAAGGAAACTTATTCTGCTAAAGCATGGATGATGACAAGCGTCTATTGAGGAACCTGGTCTTGGTTCCTGTTTCAGAGGAGCATTAAGGTGTAGCTATTTTAATTAGTCCTCGGGACAGAATGGGTAAGTGCAGTTTGAGAGTTCTCTATTGAACCTCTCCTACATTGCAGCTCACAAAGCAGTGCTCCCTCTTGAGGCCCTTGAAATCTCAGTCCCAGAGACCATGCCATCTGCTGCTCACCTGTGTGCCATGGCAGAAGATAAACAAGTCACCAGTAGGAGGTTTCTTGAAGGTTGTTTTTTCCATGCTGACTTGTGCCTTTAACTTTCAAGTTCTTGAAACATGTGTTAAAGGAACTTCTTTTCTAGTAGTGACGGGGTTAAAACTGAACACATGTTCCCTTTCTAGTGACTCCCTGGGACTCTCAGGCAGCCACAAGTGTGCATTAGCTAATGCACAAGTATGCGTTAATATTGTGGTATGGACAGAACCCACACATAAACTGGAAACCTGGCATGTGGGGAATGCATGTTTCAGACCATTAATTGAAACTAGGTAGATCATATTTCTTTGTTTCCCACTGAAGACTGGTACCCCAGCCAGTGGTGCTTAGTGGAAGCAGAGCAAACAAGATGACCCTTGTCTTTGTATGTCCCCAATTCCTGCCCATGTGGGC